GTAATGTTCATTTAGGATTGCAGATTAATAAGCGTGTTCAATTAATGATTTTGCATTTTTTTCCAAACTAAATCTTCTTTCCATACTAATTTTATAGTTCAATTAAAATAATCCATCATGTTTTCTTAGCATGATTTGCTCTTTATAAACCCCCTGCCAATGTTTCCCCATTTTCATTGTCTGAGTAGACCTATTGCTGAAATGAAGCTGTGGATAAAGAGAAAATATTCTCTAAAATTTCTATATTTGCTTGCCAGGGTTGCTGCAACAAAGTACTACAAATTGAGTGGCTCAAGCAACATAAATTTATTACCTCAGTTCTAGAAGCTAGAAGTTTGAGATCAAGGGTTGCTTCCATTTGAGTACTGCAAGGAAAAATTTTTCCATAGCTTCTCTTTAGTTTCTAGTGGCCTGCTGGCAATCCTTGGCATTCCTTGGCTTGCAGATGCACCCCTGCCCTCTGCCTTCACATTCCATTCTCCTCGTGTGCATGCCTCAGTGTCCAAAGTCCCCTTTTCTATAAGGACACCAGTCGTATTGGAGTGGGGGCCCACCCTACTTCAGTATGACCTCATCTTAACTAATTTTATCTGAAACAATGATATCATCAAATAAAGTCAAATCCTGAGCTACTGAGGGTTAGGATTTCATTGTATGAATTTGGGGAGAAACAGATACAATTCAACCTATACCATTTAACAAATTCAAAATGCTCTTGGGGCCATGACAATATTCTATGTAGTCCAACCTCCTATCTACATAGAACAGATATATCTCACAGAGTTCACTGAACTCTTTGGTTGGGACTTCCTGGCTGGTATGAAATCATACCTGTGACTCAACACCCAAGGGTTGTTTAGATTTACCGCAGGATGGGAAGCAGAGCAACAACAGAAGCCTTTCCCCTTCATCTTGTGCATTCTAAAAATTCTCAGAGAATTTGCAGTCAAGAGAAAGAGTAACGCTTGGATAATGCTTGCCAACTTATAGAGCACATGCATCATCTAATATGACTCTCACAAATAACAATGTGCAGGTAGATAAGTATGTCAAGTTTTCTTATAAAGGGACCATGGCTTGAAGGGTAAACTTGCAGACTGTGAAGTCAGAACACATTAACATGGATCCAAGATTACCTGTGTCCTGCATATTTGACCTTAGGTAGGTTGTATGATTCAGTCAGGTTCAAAAACAGGGCAAAAACAGGAAGAATGAAAGGAAGGAAGGCAAGAAGGGAGGAAGGGAGAGAAAAAGAGAGAGAGAAAGAGAAGGAGAAACATAGAGAGAAGAGAAAGAAAGAAAAAAAGAAAATATGAATAAAAGAAACAAGAAAACCTCAGAGTCTTAACATCCAATTAGTAGGCATATTATTTACCTTGACCTATAATTTAACTCACCAGAGAAAGGAAGGATGAAATAAGTGATGAGGAGAAAAGGTGTAATTTGTGTGAGATTTTAATCCGTTAATAAAGCTCTGAGTTGTTCTACCTGGGTAGATAGAATTAAAAAAGAGAAAATTTCACCACCAGCTATCTAGCCTGATTTGCATGTGTTCAAATCTTCAAAGTATTCCTTTTGATTCCTTTAATCAATAGCTATTTTAGAAAGTTCTTCATTATTTCCTAATTGTCAAAATTCATTTTCTTCATTTTCCCTTATTAGAGGAAGATTTTTCAAATGAGTTAAGTAGATCAGCAATTTTAGAATCATTATTAACTTCAAGCATTTCTCTCAGTTATTAGCATGTCTCTCTCTAGGACTAGATTCTTCTCTCCATTTTTAAAAGACCATCTGCTTCTTTTTCTAGACTCCTTATTTTTCCCATATGTCTCAAATAAAGTCAAATTTACCCTATACTAAGAGCAATCCATAGTTATAATAACTGATCCTAGGTATCTTAATTTATCAGAACACTGGTTTTGGATGAAGATGCAAGTGATTCCCTATTATGTTAGCATGCAAAAAATAATAATTAGCATTCATCCAAACCAAGTAAACTGATAAAGCCATTACTATGTCCCAAAAACATTTTACAAATGATTTAAATAAATATTTTGATCCTTAAATATATTAAAACTAAAACACATGTTCATTGAGGATCCCAACAATCTCACTACTAAGAATCCGTATCACAGAAATAAAAGCACCACACTATTGCACCATAGTTGGTTTACAAAAAGACTGGAAACAAAATGAATATCCATCAATAAATGGGTGGTTAAAAATTTATGGTACATAGAGATGATGGAATATTATGCAGCTATATATATGATTCCATGAGCCTGGAGAAACAGAGGAGTATTCAGCAGGTTGTTAGTGGGGGGTTGGGGAAGAGGAGAGAAAAAAGAGAAGGGTAAGAAAAAAGGGGGCATTCATGACAATACAGCGTATAGAAGATAATCTCATGTATAAATGCATATGTGTGTATGAATATAATGTACACAAAGGCATGACTTCATGATTATCTGAGGGAGACAGAATTGTACATGTTTACTTTCTTCTATTGTATTACTGTTAATTTTTATATTTGAATTTTTAAAATTTGAATTATTTTGTGTCACTTGAACTATTTATAAAATGTGAAAAACAACACTGAATAGCAGTGATTATAGGTAGTAACTCCAGGCTATAATCAACCTTCTCGATAGAGTATATGTCCCAGCAATTATAGTCTTTGTAAAAACCACCTTTGCTGATTTTCACTTTTAATCTACTTCCATGACCCAGCTCATGTTATTCTTTCTTAACTGGGTTCTCAACTTGTCTCGTCATATATTTGATTTCTTAGGAAGTCTCCAAAATTTCTCCATAAAACCCTCTTAAATTTACATACTTTGTGATATCTCATTTTGCTGGATGAAATGTGGTACCTTGTAGGAGATACCTGAATTCCTACATGTGGATGTACAGTATATCTCTCAGTGTTCACCTATTTTTCTTTTTAAATTCAACAGGAGTTCTATAGGGACCCCCCAAAAAACCCACATCAAAATGCAGAGGTAAACACACTTGGACAACTACACTGAAAATGCAATGCAGACTCCTGAAAGGTAGTTTGTAAGGGGGTCTTCTCTCATGACTCTTGGAACCCCGTCACATACAGACTTGTAAAAAAGATACACTGCTCCTGCCTAAACTGGAAATAACCCAGTGTTTTCACCAACACAGAGTTAAAAAATGTGAAGTCTAGCTGCTTCCATTTCAGAAAGCATTTTAATTACATTAGTAAATAGAACTTGATAAGAAATTAGAACACTCAAAATACTCAAGTACTGATGTAGAAAATAAAGAATAAATTAATGTAGGTATAATTTCTAGACCATTATCATTACCATGTGTTTCTTTAATTACCTCTCCCCTCAGGGACTTGATGTTTTGAAAGATTTGCTTTATCTAAACAAATGAATTAATAGAGCAATAAATTATTTTTTTTAATTTTAATGAATCAGTGACATGTAATTGCCCATCACAGCCACTGATCAGGATGAGAAAACCAGTATTGCACATGCAGTTGAAACCATTTATTTAGAGGCTAATCATTTATTGTCATGGATCAATGTATAATTTCTGTTAGCTTCTTAAAATAGTGGAAGCAGTTGAAGGTACGCCCTAGAGTTCAACGTGAATGCTGACCTCTGTCTCAGAATCAGTGTTCCAGCATTAAAGAATAAATTAAGGTTGAAAATCAGCTCTATTTTAATTCACAAATTAATTTTTTTAAATAAGAGGACTCATTTACAAGAAGAATAGCAGTGTGGCGACCCATGAGAATCTCGCGCTTTAACCTCACACCAAGAGCAGAGGAGACCAAAGGACATGAGTGGTGGTGGGCTTTTGGCAACTTTCTGATTCCACTTCCGAGGATTTCAGTACTGGGTAAGAGGAAGCAAACATACCCACAGAAGATAATGAATACAATATTTTCATTAGCGTTTTACACCTATTTCTTTAACTTCTTCTACATAATCAGTTTTGTTTTGCATGTCCTGCCCTGAAAAGATAAATGCAGATGCATTCACATTCTCTGGAGACTAAAGCCAGATAACCAAGTCAAAACAAATCCCATTGGAAGCTCCGGCTTTCAGGGCAGATGCAGTAAAGGATGAATCATTGGCCACTGAGAAAATCTCCTGCACAAGAAACTTCTTCGATGCACCCCTCCACAATTGACAGTCAATAAAGTTCCAACCTTGTGAACTAGGTTATCAAGTTTGGAAACTTCAAAAACCATGCGTTGTTTTTTTTTTTTTAATAAAGGATATAAAAGTAGTAAATACCACATGACAATGAATTTGCATTAATCCCCACTTTGTTCATTCACAAACCACAGAGAGCTCACAGAAAAAGACTGTACCAGCACTTTCAAACCACGACTCCATTAAAAATTTAACATCTGAGGTTAGAATGAGGTTTGCTTATTAAGCTGACATTTCCTTTATAAAACAGACCATTTTGTACTTACTGCTACCCTTTGGACTCTTACAGTGAATAATAAAACTAAACTACAAAGCATAATTTGTGATGCTGAGTGTACTGTAGATTGTAGGTTTTTGCTTAGTGGCTTATTTTAAATGCTCACCAATCCTCAGAGGGACAACCCAGCCATTAGTCTGAATCGACAGAATCGGCTGGCCCTGGAAAGCACCGCAGACAACTCCAAATCCTCACACAGACAGTCTCCAGCTTAGCGTGGCTCGGCTCACAACTTTTCAACTTGACAAAGGTGCAAAAGCAATATTCATTCAGTAAAAGCCATACTTTGAATTCTGACTTTTGATCTTTTCGCGGGCTAGCGATATGTGGTGTGCTAGCCTCTTGCAATGCTGGGCAGAAGCAGTAGCAGCGAGCCACAGCTCTCGTCAGCTGCGCGATCGCCAGGGTAGACCACACGTACTTACAGTGCAGCACTGAGGGCATTTTTCCCACTTAGGAGAGTTCACTGGCACACAGTCCCATCGTAAATCAAGGAACATCTGTAAATGGTCTTGTCGGTGACTCACCATATTGGCAGTGGGGTCCCTGAAAACCGCCGAAACACTGGCACCGCTGGGCTTCCCTGTCTGAGCGGCTCCTCCCATGGAAACAAGTCCCCACTGCAGAGGCAGCTGAGAGGAGGGTAGACAAGGAAGGGTGAGGCATGAGGTCAAGGGAAAGAAACAAAATTCTCGAAGTGAGCACCAAGTTGCTAATGTAAAGATAATTTACAAATTTCTACCTGCCCCAGCCCCTCCATAGCAAGGTTAAACACTGTTTTCATTACAAGTTAAGGCCCTGCTCTCTAAGGCCTTGTAGAGCTCTGTATGTGATAGCATCTGCCTCACCATGAAGCTTCTAGAAATACAGAATCTTAGGTTCCACCCCAGACCTAATGGATTTTTAAAAGACAGAGGTTGATTTGAATTCACATTCAAGTTTAGGTAGTACTAATCTAAAAAAAAACTCATGAATAAGATGATCATGTGGTCAAAACAATCTAAAGTGAAAAGGGAACCCTAGTGCACTGTTCGTAGGAATGCAGACTGGTGCAGCCACTGTGGAAAACAGTATGGGATTGCCTCAAAAAACTAAAATGGAACTGCCTTTTGATTTAGTGATCCCCCTGCTGGGATTATACCCTAAGAATCCTGAAACACCAATTCAAAAGAACCAATGCACCTCAATGTTCTTAGCAGCGTTATTTGCAATAGCCAAGTGCTGGAAACAGCCTAAGTGGCCATCAGTAAATGAGTGGATCAAAAAACTGTGGTACATTTACACGATGGAATACTACACAGCAGAAAGTAAGAAGGAGCACCTGTCCTTTTAAACAGCATGGATGGAGCTTGAGAGTATCAATCTAAGTGAAATAAGCCAGGCAGTGAAAGACAAATACCATATGATCTCACCTATAAGTGGAACCTAATCAAAACAAGGGGCAAAACAGAACCACAAACGTGGAAATGAAGAACAAACTGACATTGACGAGAGGGAAGGGGAGAGAGGGATAATTGGGGGAAAGAAGGGGAAGGGTCTCATCAAGGAATATGTATAAAGGACCAATGGACAAAGTCAAAGGTGGGGACTGAATGTGGGAGATGGGGGATGGATAGGGTAGGGGAGAGTGATGGGGGAAAAATGGGGACAACTGTGATTGAACAACAATAAAAAAATAAAACCATAAAAAATAAAAATCAAGCAAGAAATACCAATACTTCCCAGAGGCAAAGGACTTTGATAGGTACCATACAACAGCATAAAGAGTTCACCTCACAGTCATTAATATTCAAGAGTTTCGAAGAGTTGAAATGACATCGTGGGCAGATGCTTTGCACTGAGCTGCTGTGGCCTAGCACCGCATGCAAATTCAGTGACTGCTAACACTAATCCTGCTTAACATGGGAAGCCTGAGTCAACTTCACTGAGATATTTTCAGAGAGAAAGCACAGTGGGGAAGGAAGCAGGATGCTGATGAACTCCCTAAGGTCCAGGATAGCGGGAGAGATCAATTATTGTGCTGTGGTGCCGCACTGATTGCAGCACACTGGAGCATTTTAAGTAACTTGGCAATAACCATAAACACAGGAGTCCCTTAGTGGGGCCATTTCTCCTGGCATGCACCAAGACAGAAAGCCACTAGTTCTGCTGTCAGAGTGCTGTCACTCTCCAAGGTTCTGGAATCCTCTCACCAGACATCTGTGAAAGGACAGCATTCCTCATCTTAGAAAGTAACCTGTCTCCAGAGTTCTGCAATTAATCATGACATGCACAAGTTGAGAAATCCCATTTAGATTTAGTACGGTGATTTCCCTCCAGGCTTTTGAATCAACTATGGATTACAAATTTGATGATATGGGAAAGGGGCAAATGGAAAAGGGTGATGGAGGTCAAGGTGTAACTGGCTGGCTTTAAGTAAACTGTCTTTTATTTAAAGAGACAGAATATAAAGTGGCAGTTCTATGGGTCTTGCGTTCTGACCTACCATTAGAAACGTTTAACAGAAAAGCTTTTTTTTGCATTTTTGCACATGTCATGTGTGAATTTTCAGTCTAAAGAGATGCTCTGAATCTGTGGTGATTCTAAAAGATGGCTAAAACTTGACAGGCGTGGTATGATTGAAGCCCAAAACAGAATGAAACCATTAGTTCAAGTGACAGAGAGTTAGACGGGAAGAATTACAACTTACAGCGAAGGCAGCCAGGTTCATGGTCCTGCCGGCTCCAACCGGGGCAGCACCTGTAGACGGTCTGTTGCTCCACACTGTATGCCTGTCTATAGATGGTGTAGTACCGGGTCCTGAGAAATGCAGGCATTTAGATCATACTTCCCATTAAGGCATAGCTGTCATCTTAACCGCATGAAAAATTCTCCCTGCAACCCAAATCCTGCCACTTATACACACACACACACAAATATATATGTATATGTAATTTGCATACATTATGCATGCACACATATGTGTGTGCACATGAGAGAAGCCCTCATGTCCAGTGGTGTAAACTATTCTCGGGGCCACTTGAGCTATCAAGAATAAAACTCAAAATTGTGAAGTGAATAATGATGCAATGAAGGATAACTGATACACATGCTTTTTCAACTTGACAGCGAGGGCCCCTCATGGATTGATTCCTCTGTAGCATGCATTCTCAACAGTGGCGGTATTGTGCACACGGGGGCAACAGTTAGTTCTTGGGTGGGAGGGGTGGAGGAAATTTTAGCTGACACCCTGGTTTGTGGTCCTGCAAAGGACCATAGTACACAAACAGCTGCAAAGTATACCTGTGGTATTAAAACTTCATGGGGGAGGGAGACGTTTACAATTTTTTTGAAGTTTATAAAGGCTCCCTTGGGGGACAATAATGAACAGAGGTTGAAAACATTAAACTGTAGCTGTTCATGCTGACATCTTAATACACTAAAACACCAAACACCTCTACACTGGCTAATTTCCTTTCTATTTATTCTTTATGTCCAAAGCATTAACATGTTTTCTCCCCTTTATACATCTATCCCCCTTATAGATCTTTTCATTCTTCAAAGCCAGTTTCAAGTTATACTTCCTCCAATGTCTCTGTCCCCACCAAACCAATGTGTATTGCTCTCTCAGAAATGGGACTTATCTGCCACACCACTTTTCTGACAGCCCTTCACCACCGTGAGGTGTAACCTGATATTTGTACATGTATCTCTCCAATAAGGATATAAGTATAGGTTTCCACACTGATACACAAACAAAAGGGATATTATTTGGGCAAAAATGCCAGACATCCTTGTACACTGCCTCAACTCCAAAGCATGTGTCATAAATATTTACTGAATAAAGTGTATAAAATGACTAAGCTATTGAGAATAAAATATAAATTATGCCTTTCTTATGTTTGTTTTCCCAAGTTTGGATGTCTCTTGGTAGTAAACTTTCTTTGGTTCAGTCTAATATCAACAATGATTAAACCTCATGGGGCAGCACAGAAAATCTAAACAAAGAGTCATTTTCAAAACCAACTACTCTAATGATCAAACATACTGAGTCCCTAGTGGGTACCAAGCATTGTGCCACATGTGCTAAATACATGTTTAGTTAATCCTCATAATATCCATACATGGTATTATTTTGTTCTAACTTTATAGACTAAGGCACACAGAAATGTAGGAACTTCGCCTAAGGCCATGCAGCTAATAAGAGCCAAGGGAAGTTTTCCAATTCAAGCTTCATTTAAAGACCCTGAACACAGAGCTAAAAAAGACTACACATATAAAGGTTAAACACGCACACACACATGAGTGCATGTGCAATATACATGTAAATATATACAATAATAAAATATTTAATCTTGTACTATTTTATTTAGTCCTATATTATCAGTGTTCTGATATTTCTATATAATAGCAAATCCAGTTATTTATAAATGTCTCTAACTTTCCTTTGGTGGTAGTAGTGGTAATAATAATAATAATAATAATAAAATAAATGTATTCATCTAAAGCCATACATTTTTAATTCTTGAATTCAGACATAGTTGATTCATTTACCTAAAACTTAACACATGAGCAACTAGTTGTATTAAGAGGTACTTGGATGTTTTATAAAACTATTTGAAAACTTTTTTTTCAAAAGTCCATATGAAGGCTTGACACACAGAAAGCACTGTACTTGCTTTTTCTCTCCTCTCCCAACCCGCTGAGTTAATCCTAATTCAAAGGCCATACTAAAGTCAAAGAAGCCCTAGGTTTCAAAGTGTTGGAAGAAACCAAGGGCAGGTCAGGCAGTCTTTCACAACCATAGGTGCCCTGGATCCAAGTTGTGCTAAATTTAGCAAACCAACACAATATTCCTTGTTTCTGTCAGTCTTCTGATCTTCAGCTTGCAAGAGTCTATCCTGTCATGTGGTAAAATTAGTAGCATCTAACCCAATGTACCTCACCCATAAATGAGGCCAAAAGTAAATTAATAATATATCTTGTCTCTGAAGGAAAATGTAGAACTCTGAAAGTTCCTGGTGGGCATATCTTATGTTTGTTTACTTACATAATTATACAATATAGTTATACAATATAATGATTTTCTAAAATGTATTGGAGGATATCTTTAGATGTAGTTGAGGCTTTTGATTTTAATTTTTGGTAGTCAAAAGGAATAGCGGGAGCACCCTTACCTTCTTTCATAACCCACACACCGTCCTGAGCCAACACAGCCCCGTCTCCAGAGCTTGACAGTGGATGTGAATGCTTGAACACAGGGGTGCGGAAGTCCCACCACAGTCAGCTGCCATTCTTCACAAACGTTTGGCCTTGAAGAAAAAATGATAATACAATAAAACTAGATTGTTTCTTAATGTTTTATACATTAATCATTCATTCTTCCACTTTCCACAAAGAACTTGTGATGACTTACATAAGTACATAAAGTAAGAGAGAAAATATAGGCAACATAAAAAAAATTTCATCCCGGGCTGTTATGGCTCAGTGGATTAAGTGCTGACTGCAAACTAAAGGGTCGCCGGTTCGATTCCCAGTCAGGGCACATGCCTGGGTTGCAAGCCATATCCCAAGTATGGAGTATGCTAGAGGCAACCATACATTGATGTTTCACTCCCTCTCTTTCTCCCTCCCTTCCCCATCTCTCTAAAAATAAATAAATAAAACTTAAAAAAATAAAAATAAAAGGAGAAATTTAGAAGATAAATATAAAAGCCATAAATTCCCATGTGCTTAGAAAAATTGAGTGGAAAATTAAGTTCTGAGCTCTGTGGTAGACAGTAAAAACTAAATTAAATAAATACATAAATAAATAAAAATTATAAAAACAAAAACAGAACTATAAGCGATCCATGCAATCCTTAATGTCCATGAACAAAAAGCAGACAAATTCATCAAAATAAGTTGTTTTCCTAAAAATTACTTCTGAAGAATAATTTCTATCATATTTAGTTAGTCCACTAACTAAATCACTTGCAATGGCTGTTTGTACACAAATATTTTGCAACCAGAACTATTATTTGCAACAATATTTATATTATATTGTTATACTATATTGTTATAATATAACAATATCATATTAATATTTCCTTATAGAAAGTTCATGCAAATTTACAGGATTTTAGACACATGATATTTAATATTTATGTGTGTTAGGCTAGATAACACTGATCACCTGGAGTGTCAGAATTAAATCCTTTTGTAATTCAAGAAATGGGTAGAAATGTACAGGGAACAAGAAGAATAACTGGTAGGTGCAAAATAGACAGGGGGTGGTTAGGAATAGTATGGGAAAAGGAGAAGCCAAAGAACTTGTATGTACAACTGTGGACATGAACTAAGAGGGGGAATGTGGATGGAAGGGGAGGCATAAGGTGGAGGGGGATAAAGGGGAAGAAAGTATAGGACAACTGTAATACCATAACCAATAAAATATACTTTAAAAAAGGAAAGGCTTTACTTAGTGATCATTAATTTACTAGTCCATAGGAATTGTTTCGTGTTTGAAAAGAATACTAACTATAAAAGCAGTAGGCCCCACCACTCATATTTTCCATGCTCTCACAGTCACCTGCATGCCAGGCACTGGCCTCACTAGGTCAAATTCAGATGTTTTTACTTGCTATCAAGGAACACAGTTAGTTTTGTCTCCGTACTCATGATCTGTTGAAAATAGAAATGATTTCTGATTCAGGAGTTCTTGCTGGCTCCCAAATAACACTGTGAACTTGTCCAAGGGCAGAAGAATAATAATAATAATGGTAGAGCCTCTAACAGGACTCCCCACACTAAAGGCAGTTACACCTGTATCACCGGGATCACCGTTCTGTGACCACTTGATCCTGTGGCTCTGACCACACCTCCCCCCCGGGCCCCCACTGATTTCACTTCCAGCCCCATTCTCAGTTCCAAATATAGAGATATAAATTGTTTGGATGTTCATGTCACCTAAATTGAATAAAATGCATGTTGAACTTTAAGAGTTTGCACAGCACATTTTAATTCTTTAAGTAAACACTGCAATAAAACAATAAATGTAAAAGCTACACAAGTCAGGCATCCATAAAAATCTTCAAAAATTGGGTCTGAAGAAAACCTTAGCTATTAAAATTTCCATATTAGATTCCCTGAAGACTGCCTATACCTACCCCTTTAGTGAGCTTACGTGTTTTTTGTGAGCCAGCCAGCCCCAGGCAGAATGAACTCACAGTGCCTCTGTTTTTTCAGTCAATAGCTCAAAAAACATACACCTCATCCAGGCTTGAACTCCATGTTGTAACCTACTCTTCACTTATTATTCCATCCACCCACCCACCCACCTACCTCTCCATTCACTTATACACTTAATATCACCTACACACAACAGAAGCACCCCCCACCATCCACACACACAAAGATGTGTGAGCCATTTATTGTGAATGAGGACAGCAGACTGGGAAGGAGAATTGGCCAATAAAAGATGTATTATTGAGCCATCAATACTGTAGATAACTAGCTCCCCAAAAGGGTAAGGGAGCCTGGGCATTTATACTCTTAATTCCTGCCAGTGATTTGTTGAGGGCTACTTTCTAACATTTTGGGCAGAAGCACAGGTAGGCAGTGTCAGCCTCTGGAAGACAAAGTAAGTCTTCAGGCCAAGAAACGCACATGCTGGCTGCAGAAAGCCTGGCCCACGTGCAGCAGTAAAGAACAGGGACAGGGATGCCGCTGTGACACTTTCAGCTTCAGGGGGGACAAGCCAAAGGAAGTCCATGTTCACTTTGCACGGACAACCTAAACAGAAGAGACAGAGAGAAAGTGAAAACACCCAAATAAGTACAAAATATGCAATGCTAAGAAGAAGCAATGGGGGGCTGAAGTAAGAGAGGGGAAGCTTACCAAGATTCATTACTTAGGAAAGGCTCAAGCAGAGGTGACACTGTGACCTGAAAGGGCCACTCACAGAAAAGCTGGGATGCCATTCAGGTGGAAGAAACGGGATGAACACAGGATCCAAAGGGGGAAAACGCTCGGCCTCCAGGGTATCTGAAAGGCCAAACCGGCTCAAATGATGAGATGCTCAGTAGGGCAGAAAGAGCCTCTCAGACTGCGGAGTTTTGATTTTATTCTCCGGGCACTGGAAACCGCAGATGGTTTTTAGAATTCTGATTTCTGGCCTCGTTTCCTACAGCCAGGACCTGGAGATGGCCTGTTACACTATCTCTCTGACACCAACTTGACAATGACTTAGGTTATATCCGCTCCTGGACACTACAAGTAATATAGCCCAGTCCAATCTAGCCTGGCTCCCAAATCCCTAAAATCCCCCATTCCTCCCTCAGGGTTTTCCTGATTCTTACAAAGAAAGAATTCCTCAAAGGAGACGACGTCTTCAGCCCGCAGCACCGGTGAGCACAGAAAGGCACAGCACACATTTTAGGCCTTACAAGACAATTGTGCCAGACTAAAGTTTCTAGAAAACTCTATATAATCCAAATTGTCACCAAGTAATTGTCACTAAGGAAAGTTAAAGTGGCTTCAGAATATCACATATTATAATACTCAACCATAGTTAAGAAGCAACATAGTTTTGGTTGAAATAAATTGTTATGTTAGGTTAACTCATGCTAGAGAATGTTTAAGCACATGTAGCAAAATAAAGGTAGTAACTTCATTATTCTGCAGGTGTCCTAAGTATACTTTAATAAGGAAATTAATTTCCTTTCTTAATTATGCAAGCTGTAAATGCTAGTAGTAAAAGAGCCTGAAAAATGGATAAATATAGAAAGTCAAGGTTACCCTCAAGATGCTCCAGATATAACCACTGCTAATACCTTAATGTATTCATATCCAATATTTTGGGGTGCACAGAAACATATTCCTGCATAAATAAAATTTCATTCTACTTACTATTGTTTAAATTATGTGACAAATCTTTTTTATTTGGGTAAAATTGGAATGCAATGTGACATAGGTTTCAGGTGTCCAACATCATAATGTGACTTCTCCACATCACCAGACAATCGACCCCCGTTGCCCATTGTGCCCTCTCTCCAAGCCCTCTAGTAACCAACCACTAGTTCTCTGTGTCCATGAGTTTGTTTGTTCATTTGTTTTGTTTTTTCTTTTCTTAGATTCCACATATGAGCAAAATCAGAAGGTATTTGTTGTCTCCATGTGACTTTATTTCACTTAGCATAATACCTTCAAGGTCCACCCATGCTGTGACAAGTGACAAGATTTCCTTTTGCATTACAGTTGAATATTATTCCATTGCATATGTGTATACACCACATCTTCTTTATTCGTTCATCTGTTGACGGACCCTTAGGCTGCATTCATATCTTGGCTATCTTAAATAATGCTGCAATGAGCATAGGGGTGAACATAGCTTCTCAAATTAGTGTTTTGGTGTTATTCAGATAAACACCAAGAAGTGGAATAGCTGGATCATATGGCAGTTCTGTTCTTAACTTTTTGAGGACACTCCATACTGTTTTCCACAGTGGCTGCACCATTCACATTGCCACCAACAGAGTCGGAAGGTTCCCTTTTCTCCACATCCTCACTAACACTGCAACAGGTTGTTAATTTAGCAAACAACATGGTATATTTCTCCATTTTCAAAAATGGAAAAATATTTTTCTTTTGGCTTTTTTTCTTACTAGAGTATGTACTTACCTGAACAATATAACAAATTGCTTTAGCCAACATCCTATTGATAATTGAGATTTTCTAATAGTTTGTGTAATAAACAACTGTGGTATCAGCCCTCTTATATAAATAACTGAATTACAGATTAATTTTTCTTCTAAGATTTTTTTATGAAACATTTATTTCCTTTGAGTCCTTTTAGTTCAGTTTTTTTCCTGCCTCTCTCTTCTATGTGTTAGGCCTTCTCGAGTACGGGTTATCTGTGCCTGTCTACATTTAAGCATGAGGCACTAGAAGCCAACTGGAAGCTAAGTGTGGTAGAAAGAACTATAACCAGTGGGCTCACTGTCAGCTGATTGGGGTGAACTTGTTTTTTTTTTTTTGAGAAGCTCCTCAATGTCAGTGTACAGAAGTCTAATTTCTAAAGTTATTCGGATTTTCCAGAAAACCGTCCCCAATCTGCTGCCTGGAGCAGATGCCTTTGGCTGGTGCTTGGGGGCCAGACAAGGAAAGAGATTCCTGCTGTCTTTAGCCCAACCCACCCCTGGGCAGTGCCAATCTGCACCCCTTCAGAAGCTTCTCTGGTCCTTGTTCTCCAGAGGAAAAAACCAATTCATCTTCATTCATTCTCTCCCTCTCCCTCTCCCCCTCCTTCTCCCTCTTCCTCCCTCTCTCTATT